GCAAGAACACTGAAACTTAGAGAGCTTAGATCACATACATATTAAATGGTTCAGCTGAGGTTAAAGTCTTTTACTCTAAGAGCCAATGTTATTTATAGTGTACATTTGGACACACTTAGGACATTTTGTTTGATGCCTTGTCTATCTCAGGTCAAGCAGGTACTGTTATACATTAATTATTAATGAGAAACTTGAAGCACAGTGAGACCTATTGATCATGTAGCTACTTTTGAGGCTACATATTAAAATTAAATTGGTTCATTATAATTATACGCAATACTAGGATACATGAGTTACCTTCTTCCTTCTAAGGCTCCATGAGTTTTTAACTATCATATTCCACAGAGATGAGATTTCTGCATAGGTGACTCAAGGAAGTTCTGGCAAGACACTCAGGGCATGTGATTCTGTTGACCCCTATGAGAATGATTCCATTAATCATTTTTTCCATTAACAATTCTGAGATTCTTCCAAGGTATTTACTAATGAGAGCTGGAGGCAAAAGCGGCAGGTGAAAAGGAAGGTCAGAAATACTTTGCACAGTTTGAAAAAACTGTCTGCCCAGGTACCAGAAAGGGCAACGTGATTTACCGAGTGATTCTTTTCAAGAATGTAGCTTATTTGCTTTCTCTGCTAAGGTCATGTGCTTTATTCTTGGTTACCTTTAGAGAGAAAAGGAATACTTAAACATAGATTCAAAAATAATTTTATGTTTATATACATAATTTCATCCTTCTATCTCCCATTTTTTTGTGGCTTAGCAGACAGAAGGCAATACTGGGTTCAGTGAGGCATTGTAGGCCAGGCCTATTATGTTTTCTAAGAGAAACCTACACTAGGAGATACTCTATCTTTGTCATCCCATACAGTTCATGTAACCATTCTGAAAAAAAAAAATTCAACTGGAGCAATTTCAATGGCTTAGGAAGGCTGCTTGGTTTTATTTTCAGTTTATCAATTACTGCTTTACCTGCAGATGGAAACCAGACATTCAGTACAGGTCAAAAGGTCGTTACACTTGACAGATGTAAAAGGAGGTGGACATTATTGTTCCCACTTTATGGATGTGGGAAACAGTGCCCAGAATGGTAGGCCCACAATTGAAAACCCAACTATATGCCTTCTTCCCTTAGCAAAGTGACAACTTCCATTTCACTAGAATCTGACTTTTCAGCCTCTCACTTTACCATGTCACACAGAAATTCCCTGTAGATGAAGAGTCAACAGGATGCCTAAATACCAGTAATCTTGTTTTGGATTTTTTTTATTTTGATACTATAGAAAAAAAGAAGGGCTAATCTAGAAAATGGGATTTTTATTTAGTCTTCTACCTTTGGACAACACATCTTTGCCTAAAAAGAGAAAAGTCAAACTCAAGTTGCAAATGGTTAAATTTGTCAGTCGGGTTTATTATACACAGAAATGGCAAACAATTTAAACAAGACTTAACAATAACTATGACTTTTCCTCACTTTTGTGAAATTGTAATAACATTTTCCCCTTTTTCTGTAACTTAGAGATGTGAAAATATAAAGTCTGAATTCTTTTGTTTTCTGTTGCTATAACAAAATACTTGAGATTAGATATTTCATAGCAAAAAAGAGGTTTATTTAGCTCTCCATTTGAATGAGAGGTTAAATATCCAAGATTGGGTGGCCCCATCTGTTCAGTTTCTGGTGAGGAACCCACCCCCCATCCCACTTCCTTGGCTGCATCACAACATGGAAGGGAAATATGCAGGAAGAAGAGAGCAATCACATGGTTGGATAGGAAGCAAGAAGAATAAGGGGCTAGACTTGCTTTCTTTTCTTTTTTAAAGATGGGGTCGAACTCAGTTGTCTAGGCTGGTCTTAAACTCATGGCTCAAGTGATACTCCTCCTTCAGTCTCCCAAGTCATTGGGATTATAGGCATGTGTACCAGCCTTGCAAGCTTGCTTTAAGAAAATTAAATTGGTACATTATAATTGTACGCAATACTGGGATTTATTGTGAAGGTTTGCTCTCTTTCTAACAACTTGCTCTCTCGCACTAGACCAGAATTAACTCCTTCCCAGAGTATGCTCCCATGACCCAGTGACCTTCTGCTGGGGCCTATCTCTTACAGATAGCACTAAGATTTATAAGAGATTGTAAATGTCTAGTAATAGGGGATAAGTCAATTAAAATATAAGACATTTATATGGTGAAGAACTATAGGGTAATTAACAGACTTGACTTAGGTCTATATGTCTTCTTGTGTGTAGGTCTTAAAAACAATGTTGAGTGAAAAAGGGAAGCTGCAGAGCCATGCATACTGTTGCTCATTGAAGTCAAATTTCAGCCTACACAAAGGAAAATTATAGAAAGATGATGGCAGAAGCAGCAAAAATTTTTGAATCCCTTTGAATCTCCACATACAAGAAAAGCCCTTGGATAGCAAAAACCAGAATCCACAGACAACAGTTACAACAAAACAGAGTGTCTCTATGAACCCCAATGTACTGTTAGGTAAGCATGGACATTCACAGCCACAAGTCCTGTGGCTTATCAATATCTGTACCAGAGAAAGTAGAGGGAAGCAATTGATGTCAGACAACCCCGGGAAAAGAGAATCCCCAAAGGGCTGCAGGCGTTGACTAGAAAACATGCTTGGTGGGCCCATTAGAGGACAGCAGCTGAGACTGGAAGAAGAGGTTTTGCCTACAGCAATAGCAGGTGGGTGCCAGTGGCTCAAGGTCAGAAGGACTTAGGGTCTGGGGTCATTTGGCATCCATAAGATGTAGAAACTTACCCACCAAAGCTGCCTTTCAGGACAGGGCTCACACTGAGGAGAAAATGCTACATATGGACTCAAAACTGAGCCGAATAGAAATTAAGTCTAAAGAAACTCCATATAAAAGTGGGAAGAGGAGAAGAGTCATAGAATCTCAGAAAAGAAGAGCTCACCTATGTTTTAAACCCTATTCAACCAGAAGAGCTCTGTGCATTTATAAAAACTCTCCTCAGCCACCTCTTTCTAAGAGTTCTTAAAAACCAATTTCATATAAAAATAAGCAAGAGGAATGTATCTAGGTCAACTCCCATACAAAGTTATTATAAGAAAAAAAAAGAAGGAACAGAATAGCATCTTTACAGATAGTAAAAGCATGCCAGGAAATAAGGTGAGAGAGAGAGAGAGAGAGATATTAAAATATAATATAAAATATAATATCTCATGAAAGAACAGTAAAAATGAGAATGAGAATAAAACTCAGTCATGGAATAAAAGAATAGAAAATCATTGAGAAATGAATTTAAAAGAAATGAACACAATATCAAGTGAAAACAATAGGTGTCTTAAGAGAAATAGAAAGTGAAAGGAAGAAAACTTTTATAGATTAAAAAATAAGTGAAGAGATAAAAAATATTCAAGAGACAAGCAAAATATCAAAGACAGACAATGAGGATTCAACAGATGGGTATAGAAATGTCAGAAGAAGAAAACAAAGCAAGAGACTGAAGAAATGCTAAAAACTTTTGCTGAAATTAGAAAATATATGATCTAAATCACACATTGAGATAGAGCGAGAAAGGGAGAGAGAGAGAGAGAGAGAGAGAGAGAGAGAAAGCATGCACACTACATGCCTGACAACATCAAAATTCAACAATTAACACCAAGACATTTTCTAATTAGATGGCTAACCTTCATAGTAAACAAAAGAAAACAATTCTTTGAACTTCTAGGAGAAAAATAATGTTGACTTACAAAGGAAAAGAAAATTAGGTTATCATTAGGCTTCTTAATAACATATTTAAGATGTTCAGGGAAATAAATTATGCCAAGGATTTTTATATCCAGAGAAATGCTGACTTTCAAGTACAAAGGGCATAGACAACATGCTCTCAACATGCAAGAATTCAGGGAATATTGTTCCCATGAGTCCTTCCTGAGGAATGAACTTTAGATAGTAAGAGACATCCCGAGAGAGCTGGGGTTAACGTTAATCACAGTTGTGAATGGAACTCAGACTAAATGAGGCGAACAGCGGGTGGGTGTTCTATGTGCTCAGAAAAATAGAGATCAATGATTTAGAAGGGTGGAAAAATGAGGAAATCATATAAAAACGATTTTAACTGGTCTCAATAATTATAAAATATGTTAATGATAGTAATATTAGAACTGATAGTCTGAGAAAATTTTGTGTGTAATAGGGGATAGGTGAATGAGCAATTATGGGCTATTTTAATTCTATCACTTAATCCTTGGCAATTAGGACTCTGTATGGAAAGAGACTTTGGAAAGAAGGAGCAGAGGATACAGAAGAGATTAAGAAAAACATCAGTAGTTCTGGTTTTTAATTAGAAGTGTCAGCATGAACTCAGTTGTAGAAAAATCTACTCCGATGAAGTACCATTGAGTTAAAAAAAAAAAAGTTGACCCTAAAAAAGTATTCTCAAAACAATGTATTGTTCAAGGAACAGTATTCTATAAAGGAATAGAATTTTCTTCTTTCTGAGACTAAAAAAATTCAACTTGTCTGAACCACTGTTCAGTTCCTTCTTTTGTGGGGTAGATAGGGAAATTTATTGAGAACTAATTGAAATCAATGAATGTTCCCGATTATTTTCCCATTTAGGGTTTTGAGGTCAGTTATTTCCCCAGGTACTAGGGGGGCCATCTGTGTGTCTGGGTATGTGTATATAAGTTAACATAAAAATCATTGAAAATTTTTCATTATTTTGATTTCTTGGTACTTAAGGCAATGATCAGCAGGTGGGCAAATCATTAATGTGACACATAAACCAACATTGGCCATTTAACAGTTTATTCTCTAAATGTCCCCAGCAATTTCATCCTGCCATGATGGAGAAATGAATGACAGGAAGAAACTGCCTGGAGTGGCATTTTAATTTTAATTTTTATTAGCCCCATAAGAATATCAATCTGTAGAAATAACACAATCAGATTCCATTCCATAAGCACATGTGGATGTAAAGAAGGCAAGCAGATACACAGTAGTGCCAGACGGTCCATACTTACTAGGCAGGTAACTGCACAGTCGCTCCATTGAGGCCTGGATCGTAGAGTTGTGGACTTGAGCCAGCTGTTCAACCACAGATACCACCAGCACACACCCTGCAGGGAGCAGAAGAGCCCGTCAGCAGTGCACACAGAAAGCTGGGCCAGAGGGTGAAGGCAAAGGGAGGTGCACCTTAAGAATATAAGTCTTTCCAAAAAAAGAAAACTTTTCTTTGCTTTTTGCCTTTAAAAATCTACTGTGTGCATAAATGCACTATGCACTATGAGTCCTAGTAAAATGTGAGGTGTGGTTATGGGTTCGGGGGTCAGAAAGTTTCGGGTTATTTGTGGTCAGTTTTGCCACTTGTGATGTCTGTGACTTTAGGGAAGCAATTTGATCTTGCCTAATTTGTGCTCCTGTCTGGTCACGTCGGAGAAAGAGACGATGTTTAAATGAGATAGTGCAAGGAAAACAGCCCATACAGAGCAGAAGCTTAATAGATATTTGTCCTACCCTCCTCTCTTTCCCTCCTTTCTGCAGTAGATGGTTTTGTTATGCAGGATCATCCCTATCCTATGCATTTTCAGCCTTTGACCCAGGGTTAGGTTCCTAATTTTGGAACAGAGGCAGAAATTGCCTAGAAGACCTGGCATTAGTTTGATCTTGTAATCCTGGACTCACCGACCCATCTTTCTGAACCTTTAGCCTCCTCTTTACAAAGTAGGTAATAGAATGTTTCCATAGGGCTGACGTGATGATTCAACGAAACAATAATGCAACAGAGTGTGCCTGGGAAATCACAACACACACGTCAAATATTGTATCTCAAGCTACAGAGCACACTACTTGAAAAAGAGTACCAATGTGATGAGTATCTAGAAGCAAACTTGGATCAAATCAGAAATTTAAATTAGGAATTAGGAATTTAATTCTTTTACCTCCTTTGTTAGGTGGTAAGTGTGAATGTCCAAAGCCGCTAGGCTGACAGTTCTATTGTCTGAATTGCTGGAAGTCCAAACCTAGTTTTCCAAGGGGAAGGGACTCTCTTCTGAACACGCATACTGTAGTTGGTCAAAGATCCATGGGTGTGTGAAAATAAGTCATTAGATCCCATCGAGATAAGAGAAGTGGGCATTTTTCCAGGCAGAAAGAAATAAAACTTTCTATAAAGCGAGAGATTACCAATGAAGAAATGAGAGGTGTCCGCCTTTCTAGGTATTGCAATGCCTAATGATACTTTGTTCTAGATTGTTCTGTCCCTTCTGCTGGGCAAAGAGGGGCTCATGAAATCAGAGATAGTGAGATCCTGTTATTCGTGGTCTTGTTGGGCTCTGAGGGTATCTATATATTTGCATTTATCACTGTCAACCATTGAGTCGATTGGCTGTTTTTAACTTAATACTTGGCTCTTCAGGGTGTTCTTGCATTTCAATAAATTAAATAGCTGATACTTACTAGCATCTTATGGTCTAAAAATCATATATATATATATATATATATACATACATATATACATACACACACATATATATGCTTTATTTTAAAAATAACTTTCAACAATATAAGCACAATGCAAATCCATTTTAGAAAATGTTTTAAATATAGAACAGTATAAAACAGATCATAAAACATTACTCAGCTCACTTAGAGATAATCAATTTTTAAAAAATATATTAAATATATTTAACAAATATGAATATCTTCAAGATTTATTATCATAAATAATGTATAATAATCACTTATTAAATTAGGTGGAGCCAAATAAATTTTAACAACTAACTGAAACTGGAAAACAATAAGTAGTGCTCTTGCAATGGGATCAGAGGATGAAAGATGGCTTAGCAGAAAAGGAAGAGGCTTTGAAAAAGAAAAGACAAAAAACTTGATTTCAGGAGCTCAGGCCCTGCCCAGATCTAGCCACACTGACAGTAGCCCCAGGTCCATCCTGACACTAGCAGACACTGAGGGAGATCAGGACCACCTCTTCCAACCAGCGGAATACCGCAGGAGCCCAGACCCAGCCCAGGTCTGCCTACACTGACATACGTGGGAGCCAGGCCCTGTGGAGGTCTGAGTCCACCACCCCCACCACCACCTGGGAGCCCAAGCCTAACCCACTTCCATTTTGGGACACTTAAGACATCACCAAAGCCTTCTCCACAGAGCAGCCCCCATCTTTTGACAACAGACAAGGCCTACAAACAGCTGCATATCAGAGCATGCCCACCCTTTCAGCCCCATCTCTATAAGATGTTGCATCCATCTTGGGGCACCTCCACTATTATCTCGAGTTACTTCGGCTATTGCCACCACCATCTTGAATTGCAGTAGTATACATTGGGAGACACCAGCAGGGTCTGGAAGTCCAACATCAAGGTGAGGTACAGACAATCTACATGGATACTACAAGGATATAGGGTAGAAACTGTAATATCTCAGATCCACACTGCAAGAAAGGAAGACACTTAGACAACATGAAAAAATAATGGAGGAAAGTGTCCCAAACAAACTAGGATACTACAATAACAGAACCCATGGACAGCAAAGTTGATGAAATGTCAGAGAAGGAGTTCAGAAAGTTCATAATTAAAATGATCTATGAATTAAAGAATAACCTAAATGAGCAAATACAGGCAAAGAGTGATCACTCAGAGGGGGGGAGAGAGTACAAATACAGGTAGCAAAAAATTGCTTCAAGAAAGAGATAGAGACTCTGAAAAAAAAAACAGGCAGAAATCCTTGATATGAAGGATTCAATAAATCAAATAAAAAACTCAATAGAAAGCATAACCAACAGACTAGATCACTTGGAAGAAAGAATGTCAGATAATGAAGACAAAGTATACACTCTGGAAAAGAATGTTGACCACACAGTGAAGATAGTAAGAAACTATGAACAGAACATCCAAGAATTGTGGGACAGCATCAAAAGACCAGATCTAAGAGTTATTAGAATAAAGAAAGGCACAGAATTTCAAACCAAAGGAATGCACAATCTCTTCAATGAAATAATATCAGAAAATTTCTCAAGCATGGAGAATGAATTGGAAAACCAAATATAAGAGGTTTACAGGACACCAAATGTACAAAATTACAAAAGATATACACAAAGGCACATTATAATGAAAATGCCTAGCATCCAGAATAAGGTTAGAATCTTAAAAGCTGCAAGAGAAAGGAATCAGATCTCATATAGGGGGAGACCCTAACTCAGCAGATTTTTCAACCCAGACCCTCAAAGTCAGGAGATCATGGAACAACATATACCACGCTCTGAAAGAAAATGAATGCCAACCAAGAATCTTTTCTTAAAAAAAATATTTTTTTTTTAGTTTTAGTTGGACACAATATCTTTATTTATTTTTATGTGGTACGGAGGATTGAACCCAGAGCCTCACATGTGCTAGGCGAGCACTCTACCGCTGAAGCACAACCACAGCCCCCAAGAATCTTCTATCCAGAAAAATTAAGCTTTAGGCTTGATGATGAAATAAAAACCTTCCGTGATAAACAAAAGTTAAAAGAATTTACAACTAGAAATCCTACACTACAGAACATCCTTGGCAAAATATTCCATGAAGAGGAGATGATGAAAATCAGCAGAGGGAGGAATTACACTAAAGGAAAAACTAATCAGAGGAGAAACCAAGTCAATGGAGAAAAATTGAAAACATTCCCTTTAAAAACTGGAACAAGACAGGGATGCCCTCTTTCACCACTTCTATTTAATATAGTTCTTGAAATGCTGGCCAGAGTAATTAGACAGTCAAAAGAAATTAAAGAGAGACATATAGGTAAAGAAGAACTCAAATTAGCATTATTTGCCAGCGATATGATTCTATACCTAGAAGACCCAAAAATTTCCACCAGAAAACTTCTAGAACTAGTAAATGAATTCAGCAAAGTAGCAGAATACAAAATCAACACCCATAAATCAAAGGCATTTCTGTATATCAGTGACAAATCCTCTGAAAGGGAAACAAGGAAAACTAACCCATTTACAATAGCCTCAAAAACAAAAAAACAAAACAAAACAAAAAAACAACCTCGGGAATAAACCTAACAAAAGAGGTAAAAGCCCTCTACTATAAAAACTACAGAATGCTAAAAAAAGAAATTAAAGAAGACCTTAGAAGATGGAAAAGTCTCTCTTATTCTTGGATAGGCAGAATTAATATTGTCAAAATGCCCATACTACCAAAAGCACTATACAGATTTAATGCAATTTCAATCAAAATCCCAATGACATTCCACATAGAAATAGAAAAAGCAGTCATGAAATTCATCTGGAAAAATAAGGGACCCAGAATAGCCAAAGCAATTCTTAGCAGGAAGAGTGAAGCATCACTATACTAGATCTTAAACTACACTACAGAGCAATAGTAACAAAAACAGCATGGTATTGGCACTAAAGTATACTTGTAGACCAATGGTACAAAATAGAGGACATAGAGACTAACCCACATAACTACAGTTATCTTATATAAGACAAAGGTGCCAAAAATGTACATTGGAGAAAAGATAGCCTCTTCAACAAATGGTGCTGGGAAAACTGGAAATCTATAAGCAACAAAATGAAATTAAACCCCTATTTCTCACTACGCACAAAACTCAACTCAAAGTGGATCAAAGACCTTGGAATTAAACCAGAGACACTGCAACTTTTAAAAGAAAAGTAGGCCCAAATCTCCATCATGTCAGATTAGAACCCAACTTCCTTAATAAGACTCCTATAGCACAAGAATTAATATCAAGAATCAATAAATGGGATGAATTTAAACAAAAGCTTCTTCTCAGCAAAAGAACAATCAGTTTGGTGAATAGAGATCCTACACCTTGGGAGCCAATTTATAATACTTGCACATCAGATAGAGCACTAATCTCTAGGGTATATAAAGAACTTAAAAAGCTAAACACCCTCTGGTGTTTAGCTGGGGTTATGGCTCAGCGGTAGAGCACTCACCTCACACATGTAAGGCCTTGGGTTCAATCCTCAGCACAACATAAAAATAAATAAATAAATAAAATGAAGATATTGGGTCCAGCTACAACTAAAAAAATAAATATTAAAAAAAGCTAAACACCAGAAAAACAATTAACCCAATCAATAAATGGG